TAGAGCTCAGTGCACAGGCCCAGCTCACACTCCCCTCTATAGAGCTCAGTGCACAGGCCCTGCTCACACTCCCCTATCAAGGTCAGTGCCCAGGCCCTGCTCACACTCCCCTCTGTAGAGCTCAGTGCCCAGGCCCCGATCACACTCCCCTATAGAGCTCAGTACAGAGGCCCTTCCCATACTTCCTTCTTATGCAGGCACCTTCCCTCTGAGCACTGCATTCCTGCTCACTCAGTCACTCAAGGGACATTTCTGGGCCATCCGCTCTGTGCATGAGGTGCCACAAGGCCTGAAGGAAATAAACACAAAGGCCCGGCTGTTTTACTGACAGTCTAGATGCGGAAGAAAAGATGGAAGGCGTGTAACCAGCTACAGTCGAGCAGATTCCGACTCATGGCGACTCCATGCGTGTCAGAGTCGAACTGTGCTCTCTAGGGTTTTCAGTGGCTGATTTTTCAGATCACCAAGCCTTTCTTCTGAGGCCTCTGGGTGGACTTAAACCACCCACCATCTGGTTAGCAGCTGAGTGCATTAACTGTTTGCACCACCCAGGGACTCCAGGATACAGGTAGCAACCAGTAACTAATTCTGAGGCAGAGTGTATGTCAGTCGTAAGATGAAGTGGACGTGTGGTCGGTATGGACTGCAGTTGGCACCAGCGGTGTCTTTTCTCGGGTGACTCCCCCAGCAAGGTTTAAAACGCTCTCTATGTGGTTTTAGTTATAGGCTGCTGGCCCCCATCCTTCATCTGGCAAATGAAAAAAAATTTACATATAGTTACAAGTCTTGTCTCACAAGCAGTGAGTTTTTTATACTGTGGGTGCATGGGGCATTTGCACATGATCTACAGGTTTTCATGGAATTTAATTTTTTGTTGGCTAGTTTATGTTTTTGCTTTCTCTTCAGCCTTGTCCAGAGTTCTGATCAAGAAGTTGCAAGCAAAGTCAAAGCTGGACTGAAAAGCCTCCTTCCCATGCTGGAAAAGACCAGACACGCTAGCAAAGGAATCGAAGCGCTGCTGGAGAAATTGGCGGCCTAGGCAGAACAGTTCCGACCTAGACTGCCGTCGCTCGGGTTCGGTTCCGCTTTCCCAGGCTGGGAAGGGAGTCTCGGGGTCCCCCTTGCTGGTAATTGGGGTGCTCCGTACAGGTTTCTTCTTTGTATGAGAATCTATTTATAAAGTGTTCTCTAAGAGCGGTCCTCTTTCTTCTTTAGTTATAGCCGTCTGCTCTGTCAGACTGGGTAGGTAGCAGATCACAACGGAAGGCAGTGATGTGGAAGCTGAACAGTGGTACAGGGCACCAGCCAACTCTGTATAAAGTGTGGTGGCCTCAGCTGATTTGGGGGAGAAGGAACCTTCCGTGAGCAGACCCAGAAGGCTTCACGGAGGAGGTGGCGCTAGTTGGCACCTCAGAGGGAAGACTGGGTGTGGGAGAGAGGATGGCGCATTGAGGTGGGAGTTACTGCCTTTGACCTGACCTGCAGGAGCCTTAATGCCTGGACAGGTTGGGGAGGGGCTACCCTGTGATCCGCAGCTGCTTTCCCAGCTGCCCTGTGATTGGGTTCCCTGCTAGATTTCCTTTGGAAGCCACCTGAGGGGAAAATGTGCTGGATGAAGTAGGGGACCGCAGTGGTTATTGGTATAGAGTCGGCGTCACTTGGAAAACCCCCCAGTCTCTGGATCTGGGCCCTACAAGGCAGTGGCTCCTTGGGGTGACACATTGTGCCTGGAGACTGCCGCAGAGTAGATGGCGCCTGCAGGGTCTGAGTTGGAAGGAAGGAGATGCCGAGCTGTTGCAGTACAGAAGTTCACATTTAAGTGCCGGTGGTGGTGGTGGTCGTCGCTGGCAAGTTGGCTCCAACTCCCGGCGACCCCAACTTCGTAATTGTTGATATGCTGAAGTCCACTGTTGCAGCCACCGTGTGTTTTGAGTGCCTTCCAACCTAGGGGCTCATCTTCTGGCACTGTATTGGACTGTTCTGTTGTGGTCCATGGGGTTTGCAGTGGCTACTTTTTAGTAGTAGATCTCCAGGTGTTTTTTCCTAGGCTGTCTTAGTCTGTAAGCTCCGCTGAAACCTGTCCGTCGTGGGTAACCCAGCTGGTGTTTGACAAACCGGTGGCATAGCTTCCAGCATCCCAGCAGCACACAAACCCCCACAGCATGACACACTGACCGATGGTGGTGGAAGTACAGGTGGGATGTTTGGGTTTTGAAACTGTGGTTGACCCCTAGCAACAAAGCTTGGAAGGGTTGTAGCCCTGCCTGTGAGTATCTGCACTCGATACAGAGCCGTGATGATGTCCTGTACTCGCCGGCCCTTTCTCTGGTAGCCTGGTGGGTACTTGCTGGCCCTTTCTCTGGTAGCCTGGTGGAACGGGACGCCCACTCGCAGGGAATCGCGGGGCTTCCCTGTCCAGGCTGCGGGGTCCCAGGGCCGCTTCCAGCCGACAAGCCACGGGGCTGACCTGCCGGGTGCGTGAACCCTTCCCAGAGTGCAGAGGAGCTGGTACCTTCTCTTGGCATGAATTCTGCCGCCCTGCCCACCCTTCACCCAGCCGGGCCCGAGGGTGAGGTGGGGAGCAGGAAAAGGCAACACGGAGCTGCTTCTGTTTAATGCACGGTGAGTTTGTGCTGTAAAGCAAGGGTGCCTTCAGAGACAGAAGGAAAAAAAACCTATTTGTTTCATCTTTCAAATGAAAAATAATAAATAAAACAACGCGTACATGATTTTGAAAGTTAGTCAAAAAATTGTAACATTGTAAGAAAAGCAGCAGCCATCCCACCCCTCCACGCCCCTCCCAGAAGCCAGTAATACTTGCAGTTCTTTTGGCGCCAGTGAATTTCTAAATAGCCAGCCATCTTTCGAGCTATCAGCGGGAAACATTTTCTTTTGACTTCTGGTTACAAAAAATACAGTTAGAACCTTCACCACCACCATTCCCCCACTTCCCCCCTCACCTCCCTGCCAGTGGAATTGCTTCAGTTGTGGTAAATCCATGGTTCTACAGACATTGTTAAATGTGGACCAGGTAGTGAACTGTCATTACATTTCCGATACCATTTTGGTTTTCCTGGAATAACTTGTTGCGTCATGTGTTCTCATTTGCTTGGTTTTCTCCGTTCCTGTGATGAATTTCTCCCAGACTTCATTAGAGTTGCTTAAGCTTTGTCTAGCAGGCACCATCAACCCTTGTCCTCTTCTTTCAGCCTGGTGGTGCTCCCATGTTATTCTTGTCCACCCCATCCATGAGGCTCAGGTTGAACCTGATCGGTAGAGCCTGGTTCTTTTCACCCAGGGCACCTTGAATGGGTCATCGATGTGCTGAGATATGAACAACCTCAACCCTGGGGCACTTGAGTGGGAGCAACCATGAGCTGGCTGCCCTGGCCTCCAGCAGCCTCATCCGTTGCTCCACGGGCCATGCAAAGATGTCCCTTGTATGCCTTCTACAAAAGAGCTCCGGTATGAACTCCTGGAGGCCCATTCCTTAAATGGGTGATGGGCTTAGGAAGGAGCCTGGGTGATGAAAGCAAGGTGGTCCTGGGAAGTTTCTTAGATGGTAGACTCACAAGGAAGAGAGTCCCTTTTCTGCCAGCCGGCTTTGGTATGTTCAGACAGGATGCCTGGAGCCGTTGGACCAGCTTGCAGCCGTGAGGTGAGGCAGCAAATGTGCCGAGGATGGCTGAGATGATGTGCATCTGCTGAATAAATCAGCTTCTGGAGCTGCCCTTGTTGTTGTCATTGGGTGTCGTTGAGTTGATTCTGACTCATGATGACCCCTGTGTGACAGGGTAGAACTGCCCTGTACGATTTCCTAGGCTGTAATCTTTACGGGAGCAGATCACCAGGTCTTTCTCCACAGAGCCGCTGGGTGGGTTGAACCGCCCCAGCCCTGGACTGTGTTATGTGAGAGAATAAGCCCCTGTGTACTGTTCAGACCGTTTGGACGTGAGTCTTTAGAAGCTTGTAGCCCAGGCTACAGTAACCTGACAAACGGCCTCTGAATGTTGATTCCCACACCATCCAGCGCATCAAGTCCACTAGCATTTCTACTGTCTCGCAGAGCCACCAGGCCTTCTGGGTGCAAACTGTGCTTGTCACTCTGGCCCTTCCCTGCTTTTCTCTCCCATGGAAAGACCCTGTTCTAGGATCCCTTGTGTTTCTGTTTCTTGCATAACAACCTCCATTGAACGAGGCACAGCCTCTAGTCGCTTCCTGAGAGAGTGCACAGGAGGTAAGACTTTGAAGACGTTGCAAGTCTAAGTGTCTTCATTCCGCCCTTTCACGCCCAGGTGCCTAGTTTGGTTGGATCTAGAATTCTAGTCTGAAATAAACCTGCCACAGAAGGCCATGGTCAGAGTCACTGTGGAAGTCCAGTGCTGTCCTCTCTCCCCATCTTTGTGTGTGGCCTTGTTTGAGGGGCGTGGAGAGAGTCTCTGGAAGCTTCCAGGGCTTTCTTCACCTCCAACCTTCTCATACTTCAGGCATCATGTATACTGATGTCACGTGTCTCATTCTTCACGCTGGGCCTTTGACGAACCATTTTAGTGAGAAAAGCCCTTCCGTTCTGGGAGATGGTTTTGTATTATTTCCCCCTCTGTTTTCTCTAGCCTTTCCTTTTGGAATTCCCAATAGTCAGCTTTTGAGTGCTGGTTTGATCCTCTGATTTCCTTTCTTTTCTCCTATTTTTCGCCTCTTTTTGCCTTTTGTTTTGCTTTCTGGGTGAGGTATCTGCTCCGCTTTCCCGGCCAGCCTTCCCACTGACGCGTTCCTTTCTGGTTTCTTGGAAGCAGCATCTCTTGTGTTGTTGGGTGTGTGTGGGTGTGGGTGTGTGGGTGTGGGTGTGTGTGTGTTTGTGTGTGTGTGTGTGTGTGTGTGTGTAATTGTTGTCTTGCTCTGTCTCTTTTCTGTGGTCAGCTCTCCCTGTTGGTTTTGGTCTCCTTGTGGTGGAGGACTTCCTGGAGAGACCTCTGGCTGTCCTTGTGTATTTAAGACACAGCTCTGATTAGAGAGGGGCAGGCCTTCCTCTTCCGTCCTGTTGGCTGCTTCCTGTACAGCTGACCAGGTGTGGACCCTGCTGTTTCATTGGGGTCCTCCAGATGTCAGTGTGTGTAGGTCTTTTGTCCAGGCTGTTCAGTACCTCTGCAAAGAAACCCACCACCAGCCCACGAACCAGCATGGGCCCACAGCCTTCTGCCAGGGTGGTCCTCTTTCTGCTTAGGAAGAGCTTTAACTAACGTGCCCGTCTCCCACCCCCGACTCCCCCAGCCCTTGGCACCTCTTAATTGCTGGGCCTTCCTGGTGAATCGTGAGATTTCTGTTCACTGCACGCGCGTGGTATTCAGCCTCCCCAGCTCCTCTCCTTTCTCCACTGCTTTGTGTTCTTCCAGAAATTGGCTGCTGTCGCTCACCCACTGACGGCTGCTCCCCTGCTGACTTTACTCTGTGAGTTTCTACCATTTTTCTCTGATGTTGCCCTGTCTGGAAGGAACACAGATGACTTCAGAGACAAACACACCATTATTAAGCAGAAGTCTGCAAATGGCTTTCCCCAAACTAAAAACAACCTACCCGCCTGGGGGGAGGGCTTGTTTTCCATGGATTTGAGAATGTCTTGATTTTAAAGTCCAGCTTATTGTAGTTCCAGTGTGCACCCAATCCGTGTTTTCCCCAGGGATTTGGTGGTGCCTACAAGGAAGGAACCCCCCCTTTTCCCTTTAAGTTAGGTAAAATACACATTTCTGTAACTGAATAGCGGCCTGTCTTAGTTACCTACTGCTGCTGTAACATGTATTAGGGTGGCTTTAAAGAGTGGAATTTTATCTTTTCACAGTTCAGGAGGCTAAATGTCTGAATTCAGGGCACTGGCGCTCTCTGTCTGTCATCTCTGGGGGAAGATCTTTGCCTCTCTCGGCTTCTGTAGCCCTGGCGTCCTTGGTGATCTTCATGTGACATCTGTCTTCCCCCAGTTTGTGTCTGTGTTACTCCTTATAACTCAGAAGTGATTAGGTGTAGGCCACACCCTACACTGACTTCACCTTGTTAACAAAACAAAAC